AATCACCAACCTACCTTTATTTCCCCCTCATTCTTCAGCTTTCCACCCCCCATGCACCTGCAGCCTCTCCTGTGCTCTGAAGCCCTGACTGCTACTGCTACGTCACATTGGCTTTCATATGGGGGCCACCTCAGCAGGGTATAAGGACACAAAATCCACCATGTTCTCCAGGGGAACTGATCTCTGCCATCTGGAAAGCAGTTGTAATTCTGAGTGATCTCCAGCCCTCACCTGGAGATTGGACACATTTTACCTCAGAACAGCAAACTGTTTAGAATGTTAGAGGCAAAAGCCAATCAAGTCTGTGTTCCGAGGCAAAGGCCAATGAGGCTGCATATGCAAATAACCTCTGTGTTCTGACTGGCTATGGGGGGGACGACAGCAAACTGTTTAGAATGTTGGAGGTGAGACTCAAGCAATACAGCCAGTGGATAGGGACAGATTCTGAGTGACACACCAGGGCGCCAACCAATTCCGGAGCGTGTGGAATGTTCTAGAGAAGTGCCACCACCATTCGGCTTTTATTTATAAGGGAGATGGCAGAAGAGGCAATTCCACCTTGCTTAACACTTTGGCCCTGATCCATTTTGCCCCCTCTTCTGCTGTTTCTTGCCCCACTACATTCCAGATTGGGAATCTGGTTTCAGCACCACATACAGGGGCATTTTTACAGCACTTTGTTAAAAATGTTAATTCATATTAATACAGGTAGAAAATAGCAGATACATACATACCGTCTTAAAATTCTGGCCAAAGGTCTGTTGTCACCTGGTGATTATTTATTATGCAAGTACTTTGTACATATTTCTACATTAATCTTTATAATGATGGATCATTAACTACCATAGTCATCTGTCACCAGAGCAATCAGCTGCTTAGTGGTGAAAACAAATTTCAGTTCCTTGCTTCGGTGCTAACCATGGAAGCATTTTTAAAAATGGCTTTACTTAGCAAAGCCCTAATTTGGATGGCTAGCCTGAGCTCATCAGATCTTGGAAGCTAAGCAAGGTTGGCTCTGGTTAGTAGTTGGGTAGGAGACCACAAGGAAGTCCAGGGTTGCTACGCAGAGGCGGGCAACGGCAAACCACCTCTGAACATCTCCTGCCTTGAAAACCATACAGGGTCACCATAGGTTGGCTGCAAATTGACAGTACTGTACATGCGCGCACACACACACACTTAGCAAAGAGAAACCTGAAAATGCAATTTAACTGGGAAGAACTGGGAATAATTGTGACAGAACCACATGACTGCAAGGTAACTGTCCTGACTTTTGATTTGGTTCATAGTGCTTTGTATAGCTGCCCTTCCAGCGATGGTACTGAGAAGCATCAAACACCCACCGTTGTTTGCTCAACATCCAGCCTGATAACAAGGATTGGAACCTTCATACCACCTATCTTTACATCAACCCACACAACCTGCACTACCTGGACACTTTTCTTATTTCTTAGCAGCCTAAATAGCCCGGCTTAGACGTTTTCCACAGGAAACGGCTCTCCACCAGTGTTCCCTCTAAACTGAGTTAGTGTGAGCTAGCTCACAGTTTTTTAGCCTCTGGCTCACACATTTTTTGTCTTAGCTCAGGAGGGAGGGCTCCAAGAGCAAACTAACTTACGCAGTAGCCCAATCGCTCACTCACAGCTTTAATGCCAGGAGCTCACAAAGCAGAATTTCTGCTCACAGGACTCCACAGTTTAGAGGGAACACTGCTCTCCACATGCCTGGGGCTCTCCCCCATTTCTGCAAATGTTTTTGCAGTTTCAGGAGCAAAAACGAAGTTTGCCCCTCTTCCGGCACAGCTTGGCAATTCCTGCAAACATGGAAGTCTGCAATTTCTGCAAACATGGAAGTCTAATGCTGCGAGGCAAATGAGACAAACTTCATTTTCCTGATCTGAAATTGCTCCAGGGAGCCACGACGTGCTCCTTTAGGGAATCTTCCATGTCACCAATGCTTCCTCTAAGCTGTGGAGTCTTGTGAGCAAAAATTCTAACTTGCGAGCTACTGGCATTGTGTGAGCGAGCGATTTGGCGACTGCATAAATTCGTTTGCTCTGGAGCCATCCTTCGTGAGCAAAGACAAAAATGTGTGAGCCGAAGGCTAAAAAAATGGTGAGCTAGATCACAGTAACTCAGCTTAGAGGGAACACTGCCTGCCACCCATCGCTTGATAGAGATGTCTGCAGGCCACTCTTGAAGAACGTTGCTGCGATTCCCTTTTGATTAAATTGTGAATGTCTTTCTTTCTTCCTTTTTTAATACGTGTTTTCATTTGTAACCGGAAAGCAGAGCAGATGGTGAAGGCATAGCTCACTGTGATGTGTCAGTTAAAATAACCAAAGATACTAAACGCCTGTTTGCCAGTGGGGCCTCTTTCCAGGGAGGAATTCCCGGCTCTGTTTTGAATACAGTAACTCCAAATGCCGGGGACTGGCTCCGGGAGCATGTTTATCTCACATTAGCTGTCAGCGACTCCCGTCCTTTGCTTTTGTAACTCATCGGGAGCATTACAGGCTGGGCTCTTCTCATGAGCCATGGTCCCAATCCAAATTGCGCCTGCTAATGACTGGGAATTAAGTTCGAGCTCATAACACACATGTGATCAAGCAGACCTAGGGAGGATGCAACATGGGGGCAAACAGAACATGTAGTTTGGTCATCGACGGATCTAAAAAAAAGAGTTGTGAATGACCATACTGGTTTATGCGACATCCAAAAAAAAGGACCAAACCCATGCAATCCTTTTTACTGGTGGCGGAAAGTGCTATCCAGTTGCAGCCAATTTATGGTGACCCAGCAGGGTTTTCAAGATGAGAACCAAACTGACTCAAAACATGCCTGCAAGCAAGGCAAGAGTCAGACCATGGTGGCTTGCCATTGCCTGTCTCTGTGTAACAATGCTGGACTCCCTCTCGGTGTTCTCCCATTTAAGTAGGAACCAGGGTTGACCCTGCTTAGTGTCCAGCCAATCTGACACAAAACATATTCAAAGGTTTGTACTGATAAGAGCCTAACTACAGTTACCTGACACAAATTCAGCTGAGTGCATAGAATTCCACATGCTTCTTACCCCATCTGCTGTGCACTCACTTTTGCAGAATCAGTTAGTCCTTATAAAAGGTGTTACACAGTTTTTATTCCTAGTCTTAATGGAGCAGGTGCAGAGGAGAGCGATGAGGATGATCAGGGGCCTGGAGACCCTGCCCTGTGAGGAAAGATTAAGGGACTTGGGGATGTTTAGTCTGGAGAACAGGAGGTTGGGGGTGGGGGGATGATTGCTCTCGGCTGTCACTTAGAGGAGGGCAGGGAGCTGCTCCTGTTGGCAGCAGAGGACAGGACTCGTAAGAATGGGCTTAAATTAAAGGCAGGAAGGTATCGACTGGATTTTAGGAAAATCTTTTTTACAGTAAGAGTTGTTCAGCAGTGGAATCAGCTCTGCCTAGGGAGGTGGTGAGCTCCCCCGCACTGGCAGTCTTTAAGCAGCGTCTGGACAAACACTGGTCAGGGATGCTCTAGACTGATCCTGCATTGGGCAGGGGGTTGGACTAGATGGCCTGTCTGGCCCCTTCCAACCCTGGGATTCTATGATTCTATAACCTGTGAAGTCCTCATTTTCCACTGTAGGCATCCCAGCCCTGGCTGTCAGGCGCCAGGACTTAATGTAGCTGGTGCCTTCCCTTGGCCTCGGACAGAGGGGGTGAGGGTTGGGTACTGCCCTAATCTACCACCTCTCCCTTTGCTCTTCTCCCTTCTGAGCTGGAAGCCAGAGTTGGACTGTCCTCCTTGGCTTCCCACCTCAAGCCAGGTCTGGGGCATGCCTAGGGGCCCCCCTCTACCCAGAAGCCTTTTAGGGGTGTGGCCCGGCCTGTGAGGGACCAAGAGCGCCTCCTGAGCCATTTCTGCCTCTCTACTCCCCTTCTCCACCCCCAAGGCTAGAGCTTCCCAACACCTGAGGGTCAGCTGGCTGTCAAAGAGCCTGCTGTCTGGGGCCCGCCTCTTAAAGGGCCAGCTGCCACTGAGCAGTAGGCTGGTATGCAACTCTCTATAATGGCGCAGTAGTCATCCCACTGAGCTTGATGGATGCTGGGCTTGACCCTGTGGGGGGCTGAGAAGGATGGGGGGGGGCAAGGTGTCGTCTCCACCGCCATCCTCCCCTGACATTGACATACCTGAAGTCCCCTGAGCACAGCCGGATCAAGGCAAACTGATGTCCTCAGCACAGCCCAACAATGGTGCCCCTCGGTCCTTTCATTGCTTAACTGAACGTGGAAAATTAAATAAGAGAGTAAAAGAGAGTTTTCTTCCAGGCCACCCTCCAGGCCAGACTCCACAAATATCGTTAAATATACACTTAAACACAATATTTATTTAACACTAAATAGTGGTATGCGATATAAGCAAAAAACCCCTTTGTGGTGTCCCCCCTTTCCCTTGGTGCCCTAAGCACATGCTTATTTTGCTTAATGGTTAATCCAGGACTGTCCCCAAGTGTCCCCCCTTTCCCTTGGTGCCCTAAGCACATGCTTATTTTGCTTAATGGTTAATCCAGGACTGTCCCCTGGATTGTGTGCAGTAAACCCCTACCTTGTCTGCTAGGGGCTCATTTTTGTTGTTTTTGTAAATGGGATAGGCGTCAATTTGGCTCTTATGGTACAGAAATATTCTAGTGCTGCCAGCAGTCCTGGGATTGAATGCTGGTTTATCTAGGATCATTCATCTCCTGTTTTTAGTTTGACACAGAAAGATGTATTTTTGCAGTTTAAAACATGTGAAACTCTGGATATCCTCTGTGGCAACGGAGGCCTCCTGGTCTCGGAGTAGAAGCCAAGAGTCTTCGGTTCTCTGGGAACATTGCCAAGTTAAACAAAATAAGTAGGAGTGTCCAAAAAGAGAACAGTGTCCAATCCAGCTCTGCTTTTGCCTTTCTCGTTGCAAAACAAGGGTAGGGACGAAAGGAGATCAGGCTATCTGTTGCTTAACTTTACCAGATTAAAAAAAATCACACTGAAGAGACAGTTGTCTCTCTGCTAACACGGAGACAGAAGGATTTGAACTGCACATATCAGGAAAGAGAGAATAACAGCTTTCTTCTCAGAGACGCAATCCAGAAAATACTTCAGAACTAAGGAGTGAGAAGGCTGCTGTTTTCTTTGGGGTAGATCACATAATAGTAATACCCCAGCCTGCAGAGACACCATGGCAAATCACAAGGACAATGGAGAAACCCTGCATGAGCATCAGGAGGTCTACCAGAGGTATCCACTGGTGCCAGTCCACGGAATTCCTCTAATGGAACCCATTGTACGATCCTGGGCTTGTGTTGAAAACTTTGAAGCACGGCCAGATGACTTACTCATCGCCACCTACCCCAAAGCAGGTGAGACACCAGCAGAGGTTGCTTTAGGGAATGCAGACTGCAATGTTTCTCAACATTTTAAATCAGTAAAATGCTTACTAGAGAGCGACTGGAAGTGTCTGTATCTTTTGTGAAGTCCTAGTGGTGTGTCCCACTAACCTACAGAAGGTCGTCCTGCTTTTGAGTTTTAAAGAGTGAGATTTTGGGAGAAAGGGGGCTTCCGAAGGCATCAAACTGCAGGTATGCTTAAAAGAAAAGGTCTGAGTTTTGTTTGAATTAGGGCTGCCAATTGCCTGCCCCCACCAGCTCTCACCTGCTGTTGGGCATTTGAACAGAAAGGAGAAAATGGGGGTGGGATGGGATGAGGCTGTGAATGTAGTGACATCCTTTCTGGTTGCCATATCTGCGATGCCTTAGGAATTCCCCCAATCTCAACTGTATTTACCATAGAGTTTGGGGAAGTTCCTAGAGCGTTTCTCATGCAGTGATGTCACTTCCGGGTGATCACCTGCAAGTAATAGCACCATGTCAGCAGTGCTCCCTCTCCCCATGCTGTGCCTTCCCCCAAAAAAGCTCCCAGGGGTTGCAATTTGAATTTTGGCAAGATTGTGGAGGCCACATTTTAAAATGTATTGTTAGAAAAATTCTGAAACTTGAGCACTTCCTGCTTTGTGGGAGGGTGCCCCTCCTAGTCGCAAAACCTGCAGAGTATGTTCAACTGATAGCAAAGTCTGCCGAGTGTGTGTTGAAATATCAAACCATAACCAGCGGTTACAGGAGGAGAAAAATGCTTATGATAGTACCATAAATGCCTTTGAAAGTACAGTTGTTCCGAATGATCCATGGTGTGAGAATAGTGTCCCCTCATTTTTATCACTGTGAACTGTTGCAGGAGGCGGTATATCATATGGTACTTGTCCTAAAACTTGTAAATATCATATTCATTTTACTTTATTGACATGGTGAATGTTTGAACACTCTATAATAGGCTACATTAAAAAACCAGGATCACCCAGCACCTTCCCCCTCCTTTTTTGATGTAGTGGTTAGGAGCCAGTTTGGGGTAGTGGTTAGGAGCATGGACTCTAATCTGGGAGAACTGGGTTTGATTCCCCACTCCTCCACATGTAGCCAGCTGGGTGATTTTGGGCCAGTCACAAGTTCTCTTCAAAAGAGCTCTCTCAGCCCTACCTACCTCACAGGGTGTCTGTTGTGGGGAGAGGAAGGGAAGGAGATTGTAAACTGCTCTGCGTCTCCGAGTGAAGGGCGGGGTATAAATCCATTCTCTCCTCCTTCTTCTTCATTGTTCTGTACCTTCAGGCACTACGTGGACACAAGAAATTGTAGATCTGATCCTTGCCAGAGGTGATGTGGAAAAAGCTTGCCGGGCCCCAGTGTACATTCGGATCCCATTTCTAGAAATGTGTTCCTTTCCTGATTTTCGTTCAGGTGAGTCTAGAGAGCCACTTGTTGCATCAGTTCCCGTGCTACTTGTAGATGAACTCCTCTAGGCCTTTTCTGATTCTCTCTTAGGGGTTGATCTGCTCATGAGTGCACCATCTCCACGAGTGATCAAAACTCACTTACCCTTCCAGCTCCTTCCTAAAAGCTTTTTGGAAAAGGATTGCAAGGTAAAGCGAGGCGGTATTGTTCCCATCGTCTTCCTCAGTCCTAATCCACAGTACTACATAAGGGTCTCTTTTGGCCTTTGCAGATTATCTACGTTGCTCGCAATGCCAAGGACAACCTGGTCTCCTATTACTTCTTTGACCGGATGAACTTGGTACAGCCAGACCCAGGGCCATGGGATGGCTATATTAAGAAATTCATGGAGGGCACAGGTCAGTTTCGCGGGTATCTGCAGAACTTCATCCTTTCTTAGGCACTGGGAGTTTGCAGGGCAAGCAGAGAAGTTTCCAAGTCACTGGATGGTCCAGTGGGGTGGAGGCCACGTGTGTGAGAACAGTCTCCCAGGTTTCCTGGAAAAAAAGAGGGTTCTAGAGCCAGGATTCCTATGTCCTTACTCTGTCTTACCTTATTCATCATGCAGTTGCTTGGGGCTCTTGTTATGACCACGTCCGGCGTTACT